AGGAAGCCCCCAAACAATCTCAAGGTAGAAAGGAACCTGCCAAGAAGAGTCAAAGATAGCTGTTGCTTCTTTTGTATGGCATCAGATATCAATTTCTAGAACTATGAGACACTGTTTAGTATTATCACTCAATGTGTGGATTCCATCTGCACTGTCTGGGCATTTGTAAAGATTGCAGCTTTCAATTAAGAGCTGTGCTGTGCTGTTTGTTGGATGTTGAATTCACACAAGGGGCTGTCCAAGATGTTCTTCTTGTGAAGTGTTGTTCTGAAGCATTCATATCCAGATCTCAGTCTGTTCAGCTTGACCCATGCTTCTCTGTTAAGGTCATGCCCAATGAGGAACTTGTTTGGTGTTGGTATAAAATGCTGTAGGAATAGGTCTGTGCAACAGGGCCCCAACACCGTTACTAGAGGAGCAAATGTGCTTGGGCTTTCCTCCATCCCCTCTCTCTTCCATTTCACTTCCCTCTTTCCCCTCTTGCTCTGACCCTCTCTCTCCTTACACTCTCCTCCTCCTCTCCCACAGTATTTGGACATTGTTGCTCACGTTTTCCGGGTGCTACCGCAGCCCACTAGCAGGCTGAGGATTTTGGAAACAAGAAGGCTGCCGGGTCCAGGTGCAGTCGGCCCCTGATGATCCAAGGGTGGAAGTGGAAGAGTCAGGTGTGACCTGTATCACCCTTTATAAATGCAAGCTTCAGACCAGACAGGTAGACTGGCCACAGGCATCCCAGGGGAAGGAGCTTCCCGTGGAGAGGTAGAAGAACTGATCTCAGAGCCGGGAAGAAGTGGCCCTGGACAGCAGCTGGGCAGAGAAGACCAGCAGCATCACGTTGGGAATCAGATAAGTTCTGGTACTTGTTTATTCTTTCAGTTGTGGTAAGGTGAACCCCAGGCAGATCATTTTGGTTTTGAGTCGAGCTGATGTTCAGGATTGTGGGTGATCCTTGACCTGGTGGTCTAAACTGTGGCTATTGGGGGGGTAGAGGCCACAGAAAGGAGGCGCTCATGAAATATCCCAAACCTCAAATGCAATTGGGAAGACAGAGACTGGGAGGTTTGCTCTGAGCCTGGCAGGGAGAAGCAGCCAACCAGAACTGCAAGGAAGTGGCAGAACATGTGGCAGCAGGCCTTCAAGCCTGCAAACATGCCTGCTGCGTCTAAAGTTTGTGGACCTGACTAGTGAGATCCAAGCTAGTAAGCACAGCTAGAGTAAAACTGAACTGAGGCCAGGAGGGTCCTAGCCCAGACACAGACCTGATGTCCAAAGGTCTCCTCACCTGTAAGAGTCCTTTCCTTGTCTACTTGTTCCATTAAGTTGTGGCAGGCAGAAGTACAGATGGAAGGGAGATCTGGCAGCAATGAGAAGGCTAGCAGGAAGAAGTCCTAGAAAGCCGTTATGCCATGCCAGCACCCTGGGTGTGTACAGTCTGACCTTTCCTACCAGGTGACCCACTGTGTTGCAGCCCATAGGTTTGGTTCAGGTTCCCCAATCTCTTCTACGAGCTCGTGGACTTCACATATAACCTGTTTACAAAACTTTTAAGCCTTTTAAGCCTCCATCTGTTCAGGTCTTCAGTTAACAGCTGGTCAACCAGGTGATTTTAGTCATCTCTTGCCTCTATTTCCAGTTAAAATGTATTTTTCTGTTACTTGGTCTAATGCCTGAGAGTACAGGGAGTACATCTGTGTGTGTGCTTCAGTTGTGCAGCCTGTTATAAGCACACCATTAAGTAGTGTCAAGCTTTTTAGTATGAAAACTTCTGGACTATAGAGGAACATAATATTCTGCTGAGGCATATATCATTGCAAGTGCAGTGGTTCTGAGCACTTTGAAGTTGGCACCCCATGCCATGCTGACAAAACATCTTAACAGTTACACATGCATAGACTTTACCGCTGATCTTCCGAATGTGATATTTATATGTGAGGGAACAGTCTAATACAACTCCTAGGTAGGTTGGGGTATGCTCATGGGGAAGGATGTGGTTGCCTACTCTGATATTCAGTGTACTCTTGGCTCAACAACTGTCCAGGTGGAAGAGTGATAACACTGATTTATTGATGATCAACTTTAAGTGCCACTTGTGGAGCTTAAGCAATGAGTTCCATGTCAGTACTTAGTATCTTTTTCAAATCTGTCATAGTTATTCCTTGAGCTACTATGGCAACATCATCAGTGTACATGTATTGCTTAGATGTTGTATACAAGAAGATCCTTGGGAGACTTCATTCTTCAGAGTTCATACTTTGGTTTTTTTCTTCTTTGTTGGTGATGAGTTTGAATGAGCTGCTGGAGATCATGATGCAAGTGCATAACTTGTGGTCAAGGTATCATAGAGCGCAGTTTATATTTGAGGCCTTGGTGCCATACAATGTCATAGGTTGATAAATACCATGCCTGTTTTCTGCCTCATTTCAAATCTGTTTTCTATGTCAGATGTAAGTAATGTAACTTGGTCAGTGTAGACAGCTTTTTCCCCAAACATATGACTCACTTGAGCAGACAAGTATGGTGCATAATTGACCACCTTACAGGCAAAGGCACCAAAAAAACAACATTGCCGTGTCAACAAACTCCATCGTGAAAACACTGTGCAACAACAACAGGTACACTAACCCAAGTAAGCAACACAGAGAAAAGACTAGACACCCGACTCATGAACAACTTAATCACCCAAGGTCAACCTTAAGTTAACTGCCCACATCTCTGACACTAAGTTCGACACAGCTATTAAAGTGATCAAAACTGGCAAGCCACATGAAGGCAAAGAACCACGATGAAAAGATGGCTTAAAAAATTAATGTATAAATGTCTACAAAGTAACAGACTTCAAAAATCTGGAGGAAAGCTGACATCATTGGGCACCTATATACATGCCAGACATTTGCTCCAACACGTGCTAACTGACACACTCCAGCAGCCTCCACGTAACATGTCTTGAGCAACCCGACGTTTCAAAATGGCGACAGGGGCACTTTAACTAAAGCTCACTCAATGATCTTTAGTCAAAGTGCTCCCCACCACCATTCTGAAGTGCAGGATGCTGAATACATGCGACACTCTGGGTCCCTTAATTGGAGCAACTCTCAGAGCCGCTCTAATTAAAACACCCCTCCACCCCAGAAGAACACATGTAAAGATGCCCATTGCTATCCTGAAACCAAATAAACCACCAGAGGATGCAAAGAGCTACTGACTCATCTCACTACTCTCCATTACATACAAACTCACGGTGCACATAATCCTGAATAAAATGCAGAATATCATTGAAACCCAGCTCCCCAAAGAGATAACTAATAAAAAGATTACAAGCTTACTTAGCAAACTTGGCTTGCGTATGGGCTTGGCATTCATCCTGGTATTTAGACATCTGCTCTGGCATTGCCCTGCCAATGGCTTCCTTCAGCTTCTGGAGAGGCTCTTTCAAGCGTCCACCCTGCAGAGAGCATCACAAGACAAAGTGAGATATCCCAAAACCCGTTACACTCAAAAAATCCTATACTAGCAGTTTAGAGACCTCGGCAATGCTGTAACCACATGGTGGCCATTAGATGTCCAGCACAGAATGGCAGTGCCTCATATAATAACAATGACTGTGCTCTGAAGATCTGAAATTAAGTATAAATTAGTAGATCTGGGGCACTTCCAAGATAACCCACCTGCTCATAGAGATAAAGTTTGCGGGCACGCTTGACCAGAGTGTCCTTGCTGCAAGGCAGGAAAGCGGCCAGGTGGGCATAGACCCCAGATCGGATCTGGCTGTTCAGCTCCCGGGTCTGTAGCTCTATGCTGTAGAAAAGGACAGACAATATTTTCTCATGACTTCATTATGGCCTCTCCACGCAGCACCATCAAACTCAGGGAGAGGCCACCAGAAGATACTAGGAAAGTGTCAGGCTCGTTCTAGAAGTCCCCCAGGGTTTTTCAACCCAACTTATACCAATCCTTATACTACCTAACCCTGGAGCAAACGGATGACTGCTAAAATGGATGAGTAGCATCATTTTTTCTGTGACCAGAGAAGTTAAGTGGACTGATTTCCATTCTGCATTCTGGTGGAAAATATTTTTGGGCACTCAGGGCAATCATACTTTGCTGTAAGTAGTTTCGTAAGTAGGACGTTTAGATGTTCTTTTCATCTCAGAGGAAGATGATTGTCTGGGCCAAGCAATAAGCCACAGAGACTGCTCCCTGACTGGTTCTCCATAACATTATGTTCCATTTGATTGGGTGTGTGTTAGTTCATGGGTTAATACTACAGTCTTGTTGCGAGTGTGGCTGTGTTTAAGAGAGATTAAGGCTCTGAGGCTATAAACAAAAGTTGCATTTGTCCCGGGATAAACCATTTTATCCCGGAACAAAATGCATTCATACAAACATCTACATCTGTTGTCCCAGGGTTAATCCTAAAATGGTTTATGGGATAAGAAGTACTAACAGTTTATGCTAGGACATTGCAAAGTGTGCCTGAATGGTTATCTCAGGACTGCATTATTGAATCAGTGGCAGTGCATTCAGCTGCTCACTAAATCCCGAATAGAAGAGCAATGTGTGTACATGCCAATACCACAATATTTCTGTTTCAAGATGTACATAGGCACAAATCAAATACAATGTCTGTTCCTAGCCTGACAGAGCTGGAAAGAAAAGAGAGTAGACGTAGGAGGAAAAAGACTAGCTCCAGGGATGACAGAGTAGAGTCTGAGAGAGGACAGAGGGAACTACAATGGCACAATAAAGACTGTTTGAAGTTGAGCAGTTTGCTGTGCTGTTTTGGAAGTTGACACTCAGATCTTCCACTCCCTGTACATGGCAGGATGCACTGCATATTACAGTAAAAGCTCTGTTACCTGGCATCCCCCATTCCTGGGGAAATATGCTGGTTAACTGAGTGGCCCCAGCCACTATTTCTCCTGCCACATCTGGGGCATCCCTCCACCCCTCCCGTGGCATCACCGTCCCTCCCGCCGCATAGCCGCCCGTCCCGCAGGCCCCACGGGACAGAGAGGCAGGCCCCACACAGCCCTGCGCAGTCTGTTATGCACCCGGGCTCTGGAGGCTCGGCAGCACAGACCGCTTTGCCCCCGGCCATGGGGGCTCAGAGAAACCGGAAGTGCCACAGTGGGCACTTCCAGTTTCACTTTATCTTACTAGCTGGCATGCTGGGTAGTAGAGCATGCCAGCTTGTAAGAAGCTGGATAGCGCAGCTTTGCTGTAGTATATTTAATAATAATAAATGTTGCCTTTGTTGTTCTGTATTCCTTTTTTGTTGAACATGTTGAAATGAGAGAGAGAGAAAAAAAGAGACAAATAAGAGAAAGAGGAGAGAAAGGAGAACAGAGCAAGAACCAGACACATGCACATGCACACAGAGAAACATGTGCACAAACACAGAGAACCAAAACACACCCAGAACAGACACATGCACACAAACATCTGCAACTAGACGTGTGTGTGCACATAGAACCTGAGGCAGACAAACCCACAGAACCAGATGCTGGGCTCGCAGCGGGTGGGAGACAGGGTGGGTTCAGCTGCTGCCAGGCACGAAGCCTGGGCTGCTCCCAGCAGGCAGCTGAGTGGCTG